CGTTCGATATCAGATGTCTGCTCTACAACATCCAGTCCTCAACGGCATGTCCCCCTGTAAGCAATAAAGCAATGCTGCCATAGTGGTCATGTTCTTAATATCAGTTGCACCCCATAAAAATTTTAGTCAGTCACGGATGGCATACACTTATTCTGTACTGCAACATACTATGGCAAAGGTTGCAAAGCTGTTGAACAAAATCATAGGATGTGAACAAACACACCTTTATTGTCTCAAGGGAGGGGAGGAGAGGACCCTAGGAACAAAGTAGCACAAAAACCAGTTCAATATTTTGTCTTGTCTACACAGTGTAGCTACACTGTAACTGATTTCTTTATATATACATAGGCTACAATCGTGCCTCCTATTTTTGCTTCTAAGACAAAGTTCTACAGGGACAATTCTAGTTCTGATTCAAACTTCAGTCAAACCTGTACTAAGCAGTCTCCATGTACTAAGCGATCAGTAATCCCCTAAATTACTGTCATTTTCACCTCCATTGGGCAGTCACCTCTATAAAGCAGTTGTGATCACCCTTGACCAAGTCCCAATGGCCTGTTAGTAATGTCTTCCACCTATCTTGAACCTTCACTTTAAGTGGAACCACTTTATTAAAACTAAGAGTAATCCCTCAGATAAAATATAATCATGTTCATGTCCTGGAGTCAATGTTGGTACTTTGAGTTCAAATGTCCTCAATGCATTGCAGATTATCTTCCTCCTCTGGACTGTTACGGCAAATACTAAGCATGAACATCACTTGAGTCATATGCTGGTCAACCTGTGCTACACAGTCAGTTAACTTCTATTAACCCTCGAACTCCCAGATGTGATTCACATGTATCTTCTCTCTACAATATCCTTCCACTATCCAACAAACAGGTAATGAGAGTTCTCAAATGTATGAGGTAGAAGTTGCTATCTTGATCTAGCACCAAATTCTTGCATCTAATTTACAAAGAAATATATAGCAGCTAGAGGGGAGAATTAACAATCAGATCCTGGGTGTTGAAGGGCTAAGTGGTCACCCTGCCATTCCCCACAGGTGCCACTTAATACAGGTTCAACTGTATATATACTTAAATGACAGAGTTTATATATAACTTTTACGATATACAGATTATGGACATCAAAGATTAAAGGGCTAATGCTTTAAATTTTCAGCTTTTTTAAAATTTCTTTTGGTACTTAATCCACCTAGATAACCTTTTGCTTGATTATCAACTTGGGGTAAAAAAACCTTCCTCATCCTTGTGCTTTAAAACAGTGATTACATTGAAAAAAACAAGATTCAGTTTCCTCTGAATACTATCCCCATCCATACCAAGACTCTTCTATTTTTATAGCCAATCTGAGATTTTAAAATTCTGCACATTGAATATTAATCATGTGAGGTCAACACAACAGTTCTCACCAATAAAAAACTTAAAATAAAAATTGTGCTCACCCTAACAACACTAAGTGTGATCAACACAACAGTTTGTAAATAATTCTTATATATAAAAGGGCAGATTATCATTGTGGATATTGATGCTTAAATAAAGCTAATGAGTAAACCACTTTTACTCATTATAGTATCAAGCATACTTTCTCACAATGTGGGATTACATTTAAATGAAAACTTCAAAAATTCTGAATCAATACTCCAGTCTTGATTAACAAATTGTTTACCTTGGAATAAATATGCAGTCATGTAAGCAGTAACAAACAAAAATTGCAATAATCATAGCTTAATAGTGCATTTTACAGTTGTGTGCTTGTTTGCCAGGCCTTTGAACAGGAGTGAGGCTAAGGCTGACCTTGTTATGATACAAACCTTGCTGCTTTTCAAATGCAAATTACTTTGTTATCATGCTAACTAGTTACTGGTCTCTATTACAACAAGGTCACCGTCAGCCTCACTCCAAATCAAAGGCTGGGAAACTAAGTACACAACTGTAAAATGGCCTAATCTGGTTTGGCTCACTTAGTTTCCAAACCCATATCTTTTTATATGCTAATAATACCATGTGTCCTCCTAAACTAGATTTGGTTTCAAAGATTGTGCCTCTGCAAAGATAGAACTGAGAAATTCCCCCAGACCATCTTTGCATTATTATCACATCACATGTGTTACTCCAAGTCTCTGGATTCATCCTCCCTCTGTTAAATAGAAAAAAAAGATTAAATAAATATCTGGGTATTCAATTACATCTTGTTTGACTCAGCTTGTGGGGGACAAGGCTGCTAAGGACCTAAGGCCTTAGAACAAGAAAGCATGCATTCAACCATTGGTTTGGTCTTGTATCTAGTCATTACATAATGGGTTTACTTTCACACCGCCCCTCTCTACCCAAAAGAATAAATCGTTAACTATCATCTACCAGGGGAACCAAACAAAATCCGTGTGGATTAGCTGTGATGGACAAGCATCACATCCTAGAGGAGCAGACATACTTTTAATCACCTCTTGCTGAAAGATACTACCAATATGGGCTCTCAACTATAGGCCACTTGGCTTCTAAAATTAATTATTAACTAGAAGTTTTTCCATCGTGGAAAAAGGAAAATGAAAAAAAAACAAAGTATTGGAAAAAATGCCATGTTTGTTATCGTCATGCAAAGAATCCACTGTGTGTGAAGTGTGTAAAGCACACATGGCTGTTAAAACATCTTACAGCTCAAAAGAAAAACACAACCTAAAAACTTCAAACAATCACGTCTAATAAACTGAATCAGTTTCTTTCTAGCCTCACTATTTGTACAAATAAGGAAAACTTTCAGATACATGCTAACATTTTACATTATCTGGGAGCCTCAGGGAAGGAATAGCCCCATCTCCTCTACAGCTTGCAAAATCTCAAGGATAAAAGAGATGTTGGATAATTCTTTCCTATTTAACAAATAGATTCCACATAGCCATGCTTCTGTTCAGTTATAGCTCACAAATTATGTCAAAATGTGATAAGAACAAAAAAGGTAGCACACAAGGTGCAGCCAGGAGTGTCACTAAATAATGTTCTTAAATAAATTTTATGCCATCTGTGATTACTACTGAACAAATGCACAGCAACATCGAATCTATTTGTTTTATACAACAAAGAAACGTCTGTCCTCCAATATCATAAAGTGTAAGCTATCAATATGTGTGCATTGTTCAGCTTATAATAAAGGAAGGAGGTCAAGAACAGTCATTTCCATAATATATGTATCATTGACCAAGCATGAGATCAAAATGGCTGGATATTAGCCAAGTCCTTTTAAGCCTTTTGATGAACCGAGATATAGTTGAGGTCCATAAAAATGAAAACAAAAAACAAACAAACAAAAAACAGAAAAGAAATAGCCATATTGAACAAACAGGTTTGGTCAAAAAAGAATTATTGTATAGCAAAAAGATTTTTTTCTATTAAGAACTATTTGAAGCCAACTGTTTTTGTAGCATAAGAAACCACTGACAGTTGTTCATGTTTTCTTTATTTTGACTGTTTTTAGTTGCTTTCAGTTACTCCATTGCCAACACTGTACAAAATTAATGAACATTTTTTGTACATTCACTCCAAGCAATTTTTTTCCTACCCAGGACCAAAGTAGGTAATCCCAAGCAGGCAAGATGGGCCCATCTTACCCACTCGGGCAGCCAAACAGAACTCAGGACTTGCTTCATATTACCCACAGGCACTGCCAGCAGTATAATAAAAGCATATAAAGCATTTTCTGTTCTAGAATAGTAATAACATTGGTAAATTTATCTTTAAATCTTTTTTTTTTTACTTTTGAGTTATGTTTTCATTTTTTCTTCTTCTAGGATGAAGTGGTCAGTGTATCATGTAGTGAATAAACACATCATACTTCTCGTAAAGATTTAGAAATTAAAGGAGTTTTTAACTTGAAACTAACCTCACAGCTATCTAACCCACTTTCTCCATAGGAGGGGCAGTTGGAGTTACACTTTGGTCTGTAACACTTTGGTCTGTAGCACTTTCATACGACGGTGGAGGAGGCATATCTGTCGAAGGGTATGGTGAGTAATCATGTCCACTTTGAGGAGGGAAAGGGTGCTGTGTTTGAGGAGGGAAAGGGTGTTGTGTTACAGGAGGATACACTTGTCCAGTCGGATACTGTGGATATGTTCCCGCAGCGGGCGGAGGTGGGTTGTTCGGGTAAGGTCCCGGTTGATATCCGTATGACGGCCCATAAGGTTGTTGAGGTCCAAAAGTGTTGCCTGAAGGGTACTGAGAAGTTGATACTGCTCCAGGACCCGGTTGACTTGTAGAGACAGTTTGAGTAGAAGGCGGTCCGGTTATAACTTGCCCTTGATTTGCTTTGTTTTGGACTTGGCAATAACAGATCGAAATGACGAGCAAAACGCCTCCGATCGCAAGGAATACTGGTCCGACGATTCGACAATTCTTTAAATTTCGTTCTGTTTCCAGTCTGTCCTCGCGGCAAAAGTCGCACCAATCATCTTCTGGGCCCCAAAATGGTTTGGCAAGGTGACCCACCATGGTCAAAATGAAACCAATAAGTAAACACATGATAGTGAAAAAAATTAGAAGACATTTAGTGCAGCCTGGACCACTACAACGCTGAGCTGGCCTTTGATAAATGACCACTCGATTCATTTTAGATTGCCGATGTGGATACACGAATTTAATCCTCACTCTAAGCAAGCAGATTTAATCTGTTCAGGAGTGCTTCGGTGGAAAAAATCGTAAATAATGGTTTCCCTATAAAGTTGGAAACGAGGCTTGTGTCAATCTCCGACACGAGGCTGTTACGTAACCAGGCCAACGTCATGACCCCCGTCCGGCCTAAGTGGAAGGCCGGACGGGGGTCATGTCGCAAGAACCGAGAGTTGCACTTACGAGTCTTACAGGGTTCGAGAGTCATGAACGAGAGACAAATGTTTTCCTTTCCAACCCACCAAACTCAGTCGCGTACAACTGAAGAATTTGCTCCTTAGGGTTGAAGAAGAGAAATGGGTGGAATTACTGGCACGCTGTAACAATATCTAAAAATCTTAGAAGAGCCGTGATACTTAAATTTGTGAAAAGATTAATTTTTATTGAGTACAAGGGTTACCAAACAGGATCAACTGGCTGCTCTCGAAGCTACGTTTCTTACGTCTTGACAGAAATACTTAATGTCTAAAAAGGATATAAATATATTCTTGTCTCGCATACGAATGTCGAAAAGGTAACCATACTCAGCCGAGACTGGGTACTCATTCTAGGCAATGTTTCGAAACTATGTCTTGATCAAAGAACAGAAAGAACTCATGGAGGTTAGCTAGGATATAGTCTTTCCATTCCTCTGTTAATTTTGATTTTCCTCCTTAAGGTGAATTGCAGATCATATCTAAGAGAGCAGTTCGTGTTGATCTAAGATTTTCAACTAACCCATTTCCTCAACAGGAGGTGGACTTGGAGTTGCGCTTGCAGAAATGTTAACTTCTCTTTGGTAAACAATACTTTCGTAGGATGGTGGAGGTTCTCCTAGATATACAGGTAGTTGGTTATTCAGTGGACACGATCCCGCCGTGGGCGATTTCGGGTTGTCCGGAATTTGTACGCGTTGTTGCGTGAGCAATTGACTTGAGGTTGTTGATGCATGACCAGCAGCGCCTGTCGTCGTGGCTGATTTTGTCATGAATTCTGTTTGACTTGTGTAAGGCATGGCGGGTGCACTTGACACCCCAGTCACATAAAAAACTTGGCTTTCAGTTCTTCCTTGATCGTTTCTTCCCGTTATGACGTAGTAGCAAATCCAACATGAGACACTGAGTAGCAAAAGTCCCGCGAAAATGAGAGGCACTCCGACATACCAAACAGCCGCACACAGAAAGGCACCAACAACTATACAACAGATTGCGCACGAAATATTCAGGAACTGAAAGACACAATTCCAGACATATATGAAGCAGCCAAAGTTTTGATGCGGACAGGTTACTGGTCTCGTATACTGAATCACAACTCGTTGTGGCTGCTGGCTGTTCATGCCATTCATTTTCCTGATTTAAATGATCGGCGATGTTCCTTAATGAAAAATGTACACACCATAAGCGAAAGAATCTCCAAGGATAAATGAAGGTAAATTATATCTGTGCGAACTCGTGCAGCTGCGATGCACAACCTTTTACCTTTGAATACCGACCACTAAGCCAGTCGTTTCCGGCATCCTGCTGAGCGAGATTTAAAGCTTCTGGAAAATAAGACAAAAAGAGGGGTAACGCCTAGAATGTTCTGAAACATTTCGATTGGTCCATAGCTTGTCAATAAAAAAAAGTGACACCGTCATCCACACAAACTCTACAGTTGCGTGATTAAGGCCTCAGATTTTAGCATTTTAAACAGTTAATTAAAAGTTTTCCATGAGGCGTTCTGCAAGAACGAAGTTGAATAGTAATCAACAAGTTTAACATAACCACAACTCACAAAATTTTTTAAGGAATTGATGTGAAAACATATTCAAATCGCAATCATGTCACACTTTGGAGGAACATTAAACCTTTTTCCATGCGCTCATGATAGTTGTTCCTAATGAATTTATTATGAAAGCTGTACTGAACCGTTTACTGATCACTTCCCATATCAAGTTATTTATTCATCAGGTGTAACTTTACAAAGCACATTAAGAACAAAACCATTTGCAAAAATAGTAAAAACTAATTGTGCTCAACCGTTTCCTGCTTTAAATATGTTTCGAAGTCTTCCTGAAATGAAATCATTTTTATTATCAACATTCACTGAATCGTTCAAATGGTTCATTTAGTACCTGACACGCGTCAAGAAGTGTGACGGAGTGATACTGATTAAAGTAGCGCTTGATTAACTTATTCATAGAGCGCTGGACTGCCGTGCGACAGGTCGAGGTTCAAGCCCCAGATATGATCAACACTCAGGGTCTTAAATTAATTGAGGAAAATGTGCTGCCTAAGCTACGACATCTGAAAACGGTTTGACATTCTGGTGATCTCGGATAAGGACGATAAACCTTAAGCCCCGTCTCCTGCATCTTCTCTCCTGTACTGGTTCGCAAGGGACGTTAGGGAACCCGCGCACTTTTCGCAAAAAGTAGGGGGTGTAGCTCCTGGTTTTATGGACTGGCCCTGTTTGACACCCTGCTCACCTCAATCCATCCTCGTATCCAGTCTTCTCTTCTAACACAATACGTAAATGGCGACAAGGGTACGAGTCCGGAAAAAGGTACGACACTATAAACACAGGATTGCCTCTGTGACTGCCACTTTCTTTTAAAACGCTATAGCGTTATACGGTGATCGTTCTCAAAACAGCCCGCCTTGATTCCTTGGAATAACTCCTTATAACCGGTTTCCAAACTTCGTTACTTATGGAAGTGCTTCGCGTTAACGAGAAAAATCTTTCCGGTCACCACATCTCCTTACGTCATCTATGATCACAAAGCATGTCTCTCAGGAAAAGTTCAAATTAATACAATTACGCCCATCACAATGTTTGATTTGGAGTTTTTACAATAGGCCAAATCCTCTTTTAGAGTTTTGACTTTCTTCCAAAAAATTCAAAGCTCTTCAGAAGCCCTTTACCGGTTAAAATTTCACTTTGAAGGCCACTAATGATGTCACTATAGAAATCTGATTTTAAATGCATAACACTATTTCTGTTCAAGTTGTTATTGCCTACAGCCGCCTTTCCCATCCGTATGGCTGTATCTAGAAGTTTTTCAATATCACAGATTTCATGGACAATCCCACCAGCCAGAGCCTCCTCTGCTTCAAACCGTCGTCCCATGAATACAGCATCTGCAATTACTTTGGGGTCCTTTATCTTCCCTCTGGCACATGTGAAGAAGTAAAAGGATGCCATGAACTAAGAAATGCTTGCAAAAGGTGTGGTGAAATTGGGGAGGACTCCATAGGGATGAAAGTGTGGGATAGTATATGCTAGGAGTTATTCAATATTTATGAGACCATAGGAAAAATCCATGGGGGGGGGGAAAGGAGGGAGGGGATGAGATTCATATGAGGAAGGAACTCATACTGGGGGGAAAATCCTGTATTTTCAAAGGGGAGAGGGGGGAAGTGAGGGGAATCTCACTGAAAGTGATGTTAGGAATCCCATTTGAAATTGGGAAGGATACCCAGACCAGTCCAAAAAATCCCATAATTACCAACGTGGGAAAGGGGGTGATTTCATTTGAAAAAACTTTTGACATCTTTATTACCTTAGCGTGCTAGTCATAGGTGGATAAGGCATCAGCTGAAGAGTTCAGGATTTGTTCACAGCCATTAAGACAGGGAATATTTAGTATCCCAAGAACTAATACTTTGAATCATTGTTACTTTAAGCTGTCTTGGGTATCTTTAATGGGTAAAAACAGCTCAGATTGGTTAATTCCCTCAATAAGGGAGGCCAAATCAAACTAGAAGACAAGCATAATTACCTCATCAACAGGTTATTTCCAATACCAAAACGCATGCCATACTTGACCTCTGGAAAGCTAAACCAACCTTTCTTGGTTCTCATAACTCTGTAGTCATGTGCAAGGGCTAATAGTGCTCCACCAGCAAAGGTATGTCCTGTAGTACACAACAGAGAAGGAAAACAACCAACTTAAACATGGCTTGTTAGTCTAATGCAAGTGAGCTGGAATTTACCAACATCTGTCCAATGATCAGGCTACTGGACTAGCTATCATGATTTTCATCCATGAAACGACACAGTTAAACCTGGTTCACACTAGTGACACAAGAACATGAATGAAAACTAAAAAGAAAACTGTAGGAACATCAATATATTGTTATATTGTGTTGTGAACATGGAGAAAATGATATTGATATTAACTCACATTTAACATCTAAAATCTATACATTAATTATCTCCACCACCTTGCAAACATTTCTTGTAAACCAACTTTTAGAATTTGTATAAAATAAAATAAAATTATATCCTTAGCTGATGGTTTTTTTTCTAACAACCTTCAAAAAAATTGAATAACATAACCTCCTTGTACCATTAAGGAGTCCACACAGAGTATAAGAAGTCTAATTGGCAATACTGTACCATTTAATGCAGCCACTGTTAACATGGGAAATGATAATAATCTTGCCAAGACTTTAGGAAGCAAAGATGTGGTTTCTATGAACTCCTCTGGAGTACATGTCGCAAGGAATTCTTGATCTAGCCCATTTGAGTAAAATTTTTTATCTCCAGTGGTGATCAGAAATTTAACCTTTTCATTCCTGAAAATGAAAATTCAATATGGAGGACTATGTTTGAAACAAGCTAAAGGGACCATTCATAATGATCATGATAAAATGACTGTAGACATATTTCTGTAAGAGCAAGGTGACTTTGTTTCGAGATAAGATCGCTCATCTTGGTGCAGAGGGGGGTGAGTGACGTGACCTTCATTCGGATCACTCACTCACCCAAGGCAGTTCTGCAAACATCTTAAAAAGATTTAGATATCAAATATACTTCGTTGTGTTGGCTCAGCAGGTAAAATTGCACTTAAACAGCCTATTTTTTCTCAAGATATTCCAATAAACACGCATAGCTCATCATTCTGGAGAAAGTAACCTTCGCTGTAACGTTCCTGTTCAGGTTAACACTAACAGGGCTCTGAAGTCTTCAAACAATTACGCAGCTTATAAATACCTTTCGATCTCATCCAGAGCAGCATAGAATTCTTTAAAAAATTCTAAATTTAATCGGTTTTCTCCATTTTTCATGGAAAGAATTGCATAATTGTCCACGAAAGAAACCTCGACCTTCCCACTCCCTGCCATGTTCGATTCATTGCATTCAGCTGAGCATTGTATTTGTCCCAGTCTCTCTCGTACAACCGAAAAAACAAAATGGCGACGAATTCCGGGTACGGAAGGTAAAACGATTTGTGTGTTATTTTAACACAGTCTCATTCCGGACAGAACACTCATGTCAGGGAAATCATTCGATGTTCATTATGCATCATCTAGCTACTCTGCTACGGTATGTGTTGTAAAATGCAAAGGAAATCGAGACATTTAAATCAGCTAGAGACGTGTTTCTCTCAGAGTAGGTCTTTAGACTGATGTTGCTCTAAGATTGTGGGGTAATATGAGCTGCTTTCATATAAGCACCTTTATTTCCCATCTGTGCTAGCTAGTATAGTAAGACAGGAATGTTTGGTGAAAGAGCTTTACCAAAAAAAAAAGGACGCCTGCTGAATGATTAACCCTTTAACTCCACGAGTGACCAAGACAGAATTTCTCTTTACAATATCGATACACTATCAATCAGATAAGTGATGAGAATAAAGAAAATATCAATTTGGGGATAATTAGTTTATCTAATACTAAATTATTTGACCTAACATCAAAAGAATTGTATGGTTGACAGTAAAGAGAATTACCAATTTAATCTGGGAGTTAAAAGGGTTAAAGGCTTCTAAAGGGTTCACACCTTTGCCTCCTAAATACTAATAGTTGGTTGCCATTTCCAATGTACTAAGCTGTGATACCACTTGTTGGGAGTGTAGCCAATTTTAGCAAGTATTTTTTTTCCAAAATGGTCTTCTTTCACTGGAGCTTATTTTTGGGAAAAGATCATGCAGAAAAATTTACCGTGCATTGTGTTTGCTTTTCTGGTTTATCCAAATTTTTAAAGCTTAAACTGGGGCTAGAGCTTAAACCAGAGGGTGCTCTTTGGAAGGAGGGTGCTTAATCAAGGGGGATGCTTATTATTCTCCTGTGCTGATTCTGCTGTAGTTGAAGCTTAAAGAGTGGCAATAGAAACAGGTTTTCCTTGTATCCCTACTATTTAAGAACATAAGGGAGGGGGGGGAAGCACTCATTCCTGGGTGGGTGCTTATTCCAGGAGGGTGCTTATTAGAGTGTGGGCACTTATTCAAGGAAATGCAATACTTGAATATTTTTATAAAGACACTATCAGTTCTAAGAAGCCAATAGTTGTGCAAGAACAAAGGAAAACTGTCAGCATCTAGGCATATTTTTTGGCTAAACAAAGGTTATCATGGTTATTACCTCCTAAGGGGAAATCACATGATATTCCTCAGTTTTGGCAGGGGCACATTGGGCTATGTGGTTTATAACATAAACATGAATATCTATTGATTTCAGGTTGCCACTATTTTCCTGTTCAACCTCCTTGTTGGTGTGGGAATTCTTGCCCTTCCATCAGCTATTGCGAAAGCTGGAATTTTTGCAGGTGTTCTTTGTCTCATCACTGTGTCTTTCATGGCATTTATTAGTGTAACCTTCATGATTGAAGTATTAGCAACTGCTAATGCTTGGCGAAGAACAAAATCAGTTTGTAGAAAAGGCAGTGTGAAAGGAGGCCTGCTTCAAAATGAAAGTATGGAAGAAAAAAGTCAAATCAAGGTCAAGACTGATGTAATATCTCCTCCATTGTTTGAAATTGAAGAGAAATTTGAGATGGGCTATTTGTCAGAGATGTTTCTTGGAAGTGTGGGATCTACATTCTTCTATGCAGTTCTTTGTTTGTATTTGTATGGGGTGAGTGCCTTCTTAACTATTTATCTTGATCTAAAACTAAATTCCCATAACTAATTTACAAGGAAATCTTTTGCAGCTAGAGGGGAGAATTACCATCAATCAGATCTTGGGAGTTTAAAGGTTCACAAATGACTACACAGTTTTCACAGTAATACTCTGAGAATTCTGATTTGTATCTAATATTTTTTTTAAACTGATATGGATGATAGGCCATTCTTGCAGCCCTAATGAATGCAAAGCTTATCAAACCTTGGTATTTATCTGCTCATGAACATAAAATAATACCGTGTCAAGCAGACAGTTATAAGGGTTGAACGTAATTTCAATAAGGGAATTTTCTTGATATGAATCAACACCAAATGGTTCTGTCGCCAATTGGGAGAGCTCTAGGATACTTTCAGTGAAGGTACCAACAACTCACTGGGGAGGTTTGGAAGGCATCTGCATAACTTGACAATTAATGTTGCTACATGTGTTAAACACCACAGTTAAGCATTTGACTCTCAATAGGGGCGAGCATCTAATATTTCCTCGTTATATCACCCCTGAATCAAACAGTAGAGTATCGGAATAATAGAAATGATCACTCTCAAAGAAGCTGCTAATTTATAAACAAATTCTCCTTGTCAGCACCTTAGGAAATGTATAAAACAGTATGGAGAATATGTAAAGTGATGATAGGGTGTTAAGGGTTAAAAGAAGCCTTTGTTAATAATTGTCATGATAATTGTGCTGAAATCAAATTACCTTAAATTTTGATTTGATTAAATTTCCTTTTTTCAGGATCTTGCAATTTATGCAGTATCAGTTGCTACAACATTAGAGCAAGCTGTTGGTGCCAGCCATCAAATATCTTATTATTCTTTCCTCTGGGGTTTTATCATGTTCATTGGACCATTTTGTTTCTTTAATTTCCAAAAAACTACATATCTTCAAATGTTTACGATGGTAATGAGGAACTCTGCTATGGTGTTAATGATTGTGCTGACACTACTGGACATTGCAAATGGACACAGAGTACCAACAGACCAGCTGATATTATGGGATACAGATAAGGCTAAGGAGGTATTACAGTTTTTGTACTTATCTTTGTTTGCTGTGTATCATGTGCTGTATGAATGATGATGAAATAAGTTGATATTTAATTACACAGTATAATATTTCCCAAACTTTTGATTCATGCTGTCTTTGCAGCTCTCTAAGTGCTGTCCTTAACAATTTGTCATACCCGAGAACATCAGATAACACATCACTTCAGTTGGGGTTTGACCCTGGATATTTTGATCCAGAATATAGCTTTGTAACCACTAAACCGTCACTACTGCTACAACCCCTACTGAAGTTAAAGCCCAGTACATTTGTTATTTAAATATGTACTGATCTTTTTCTACTATTAGAGACCACATCCATTTAAACCTTTAATTCCCAAGATTTGATAGTTAATTCTCCCCTCTAGCTGCTTTAAAATTTCCTTGTAAATTAGTTACAAGAATTTGGTGTTAGATCAAGAAAAACAATCTCTACCCAATAAGTCTAAAATTCTTATTACCTTTTTGAATGATAATGTATGGATATGAAAAGGGAGAAGTTACATTTAAATTATTCCTGGGAGTTAAAGGGTTAAGTGGCCCTGAGGTGATTTTGCAAACCTAAATGTCTCAGGTTTGCATAACATTTTTTAATTTCTCCCAACTACCCTTGTGGTTAGATGAGGCTACTTGGAAAAAACTTAAATGATGATTTGCAGCAAACTGATTTTAATGACCTTCCTGAGAGCAAAACTTTTGCTCTGGTGAAGGGCTGACACTTAACATTTCAGCTATGAAACTCCTTATGGTGGCCAATTTCCATTATCAACTCAATTGATGAAACCAAATTACCTTGTTATATTCCCCCACTGGTGCAGCACCACAGTTTCTATAGAAACTTATACCCTTTACTGATTTGAATGACCACTTTCCAGTTCCTCAAGGGTCAGACTGTACAGAAGGGTTTAACTGTGTTTTCCTATATTGCAAGATATGAGATTATTTGAAGTTTAATATTTCATTGCAGCTCTTAGGAATGGCAGTGTTTGCATTCATGTGTCATCACAGTGTTCCATCCATCATCCTTCCTCTGGCTGACAAAAGAAAAACTCTGCAAGTTGTTTTGGTGGACTATGTGATAGTTCTTCTCTACTGTGGCATCATTGTTTTCTCTGCAGTCTTAAATAAACCAGCATCTGCCATCCTTCCACTTTATACATTGAACTTTAGTGACCACTCTGTTACTGTCTTGGCAAAGTTTCTCAGCCTTTATCCTGTATTTACTTTGAGTAGCAACTTTCCTCTGATCTGCATAACTTTGAGGAATAATTTGATGGCACTATTTCCAGTTTCAAAGGTAATGCACTAAATAAATCAAAGCTTCAAAACCTCTTTCTCCCCCTTGATATTAATATGTTAACTGACTTTAGAAAAGATTGAAACAAATGGTATGATCGAAATGCTTTTAAGAGTGATAAAAATTTTAGATATTGGGAGATAGGTTTGAGGAGGATTTCCTGTACTTTTTATTTGTTTTAATATCGATAACTTTAATGTTAATGATTAAAATCTAACACATTATAGGAATAATTAACACATTCTGCTTGAGTAATTTGATCTCTCATTTGTTATGACAGTGGCAATAAATAATGATGAGAATGATGGTCATTTATGGAAGATATCCAATGAATTTAGCAAAATTGGGCCTGTTTGAATGACACTTTATTTTGGAAAACATTCTCTGAAAATTAAAAAATCAAGAACATTTGAAAGTTCAGTCTGGTACACTAGCTAGATATGCATTTAAAAATGGATTATTTTCTTCTTCCCTGGTATTTAATTGTAATAAATTGTGCATCTTTTTTTCAGAGCTTAATATTTAGCCAGCAGATCTTCACACTTGTGGCCCTTATGCCACCTGTTGTTATTGCAGTGTTTACACATGATGTTGGTCAGCTTGTTGCACTTACAGTAAGTGTCCATTGCTGTGTCCTTTCAGTTTGGTTGTTTTTAGATTTATATTTAGGTTACTGGTAGGTCTTGAAGGGTCTTATTCCTAGAAACCCAAATTTGTAAAATTAATTTTAAGTGTATTTACAGCTTTCAGGGTTTTTATGGTGTTTGAATGGTGCTAAATTGGAAATTCCTCCAAATTTGCCTCATCCATGAAAGTTAACCACTTGCTTGAAGATTTTTAACCTATTTTCTCTTCAGGAAGTTTAGCTTGAAATTTTTTGGCCTTCTAATAAGGATAAGAGAGCTTAAATCTGCCAACAAGTTTTGTTAAGTTTTTTTTCTGTTGTATGAATCAACTAGGATATCACTTCAATCTGTTGTGGAATGTTTTTTGACATTACATTTCTCATTTTTCAGGGCTCCTTTGCAGGGTTAGCTATCATGTTTGTGACTCCAGGTCTTCTTGCTTTGTACTCAAGGAACAGGCTGGATAAATCTGTTCCCCATTGGAGGCAAATGCACCACCACAAGTCTCCATTTCAAAGTAATGCATGGGTCTACCTGACTTTGGCATTTGCTGCCTTTGTGCTGATGACAAGAATACTTTGAATACAGCAAGTTCTTAGTTTTATTAAAATTGATGAAACCATGTAGCAGAATGAATTCATGTATAGTATTCCAAGGAAAATCATGTGGCAAAAGCAAGCTTTAAATATGGAATATTTTTCTCTTGCAAATAGAAGATGAGATATAATGATAACCTCTTAACTTATATTTGCAACAAAAAAGCGACAGAAATAACAACAAAATACATTAAACCAAACAAGCTTCAAAGAGAGTATATTATAACAGGAAATATGAGTTATTTAATAAAAGTATTTAAGACAGAAACTGTCAATTGCAATTGTGACAATTAAAGACAGAAATTGAAATTGTATCCTTTTTGTATCCCAGACAGTATGAGAACAATGACATCATGTAAAGATTTTAAGACAGCCATAAAGAAAAAGAAAATGAACTTTTAGTGGTAGTTTTAATGTATTTTAATGATTTAATTGATGTAAATATTTTTCTTTCTCGAAGATATTAGCTCAACAGAGCTACTCTGATAATTTGAGTTGAAATAAAGTGTATGTATGTATGTATGTAAGACTTATATTTGATGTCCACAGTTCGTAAGCTGTTCAAGTTGTGTATTGCCAGTGACGCTATGGCACTTTTTAAACGTACCCCACTAAAGTTTCTTTCTGTGTTCCCAGAGAGGCTGATTCCAAGTTACACAATACAACTGGTTCATATTTTCAGATAATCCTTATCCTCATAGGCTTTGCTATTCTTAGCTCAAAGTTGTGAGAGTAAAAAAATTTTTGACTTGCGAGTCAGATGCAAATAAGCGTTTACGTGTTTCAACTGTTCATGACATGACATGACCAGGTAACCTCAACTCCAATCTACATAAATCCTTGTAGTTTTCTTCGTTGCGAGGAAAAAAAGAGAAACACCTCATTAGGTATAGTGTACTAGTTAAGTATTTATTTATTTATTTTTTAAAGTTTCTTAGTGCCTTTCAATTCTTATTACGTGAAATTTTTATGAAAGTGTGCGTGACGTATGACGTTTTTAAAATGCGCGCGTGAAGTGGGATGATCATCATAATTCACAGGCTCCACCCCTTTGCCCTCCCTTTCTCGTCAATCCTCTTGGTAATCTCGGGCTCCGAATTTCGTCACCGATCAAAGTTTATGAAAAGTGATCTATGAGGGGGTTTTAAGTTGGATAGATGACAGGGCACAAAACCAGCATATGAATCTAAAATGGCAGAGGAGCTCGAGAGTAAAATACCTCTTCTGGCTGAAAAACAAAACCAAGCTTCTCCTTCAGAGACCACTCAAAAACGAACCTCACTACTCGAGAGGGTTACAACAACGATATTCCAGAATCTATTGCCAATCAGCCTGGTTGTCTTCGTAATATTAGGAATTTTGGTTCCACAACCTGGCGTTTTCTTCAGCAAACTACCGACCAATTATGTTTGTGTCATAGGTATATTCCTTCATAGTGGACTCAAACTTAAAACAGAAGAAGTGAAAGATGCTTTGAAATCTTTCAAGGCTATGATCTGGGGAGTCGTTTGTATCTTGTTTATTACACCAGTTATTGGCGGTCATCTTACAGCCTTGCTTCCTTACACTGAGACAAGCGATCAGAGCGGAAAAAACTCTACAAATAGTTCTTTATCTAATGAGGAACACGCAGAGGGTAGTTCCATACTTGGCCCAGCTTTATTTCAGGTGGGAATGCAGATTTACTTCATCGCTCCTTGTTCTATTTCGTCGGGGATTATGTTGGTAAGTCGTTTTCGAATACACTAAATGAAAGGAGATTGAATTTAAGGTCGAATAGGAAATATTTTCTCTCAAGATTGGCTTGATCTCTGTTTAGATCAGATCCTGCCACATTAAAATGTATCAAACTGTAGAATCGACTAAAGCACAAACTCAAAACAAGATACGTAATTTTAGAGAAAAAATGATAATTCCTCAAAGGTTTCAAAATACATGATGAGCGCGTGATTTGTCAACTGTTTTCTGTCTCTTGATCGTTCAATAAAAGGTCATCACGCCACTGGTTGGCGTTTTCAGAGACAGCAACATACAGCGCTTCACAACCCGAGTGGAATACACAAATAGAGTAAATGTTTCTTGTCTGTTTTATTTCTTATATCGTGATGTGTAAGCAGTCAGCTGATCAGTTCAGTTCGAGAGTTTTCCCGCCAAAATTCCCAGAACTAGCGTGACTGTCCCTCGGATCCAGTCTGTTTTCATTGTCAATTCCTTCGACCGTCCTCGAAATCAGTGGGGAACCTAGCATCCTTAAATCCAAAAACGATAAAAATGTTTGTTACAAACAACGTTAAACAGGTTAAACAGGTTTTTTTAAAGTACAAAATAACCAACTGTCCAAAGAACCGTACAATATCATAGGATATTCGTACTCTATTTGCGCGTTATTTGTACTCTACTTTGTGCAGTTGGATAATAAATAACCTTTCTAGAATTACGACCCGATCACGCTCTTCAAGCTTGTATCAGTATTACAGGGAGTAGCCATATTTGACCGGAATTATCCCTGAGGGGCACAAGACAACAGAGAGTATTAAGCAAAATCCCCTCTCCCCCCCTAGGCGAGATACTAGTTTATTAATTAGGGATTACCCCGAGTGCTACATAACGTTCCCTCACATTTAAAAAAGTACCCATGAATTTATCATCGTTTATGGAAAGAGGTGCTGTGAGAGTGAAAAGGCTTCAATAAAAACATAACATGATTATCACAGCTTTGGATACTTCTTATTTTGTTTTTGTTTTCTTTGAAACAACAGACAGCTCAAGCTGGGGGTGCCGTAGCATTGTCTGTACTGCTCACAGTGTTTTGTAATTTGGCAGCTGTATTCACTGTGCCTCCTCTTGTGGCTTGGATAATAAATTTTGAGAATGTCCGACTGGATCCTGTTAAACTTTTGATTAAGTTGGTGCTGACTGTTCTTCTTCCATTATTGGTATGTACAATCAGAATAATTGTAATTTGGTGTGAGGAGAATAAGTATCAATATACATTAAATACTATTTTGACTCATTCAAGATTTTAAAGTTAATTTAGTTGTTATTTATATGTATTGGATGTTTAAAAATTAGGCACTGCACACGATATCTTACTTCATGGTTCTTAAATCAAACATTTACTCAGTCATTTCATCATATTGCCGTAATGTTAAGAGATTATGACAAGGCAAGTTGTCCAGAGTAGGTTGAGGAATGCCTTTTCAATGTTCTGCTGAATAAGTTTTTGTAATATTGATTATTTAACATATACCTAGTTCACTATTTATAAGTTTATTAACCAGGGAGTGCACTTAAATTATAGCTTAGCTAAACTTAATCTTTGACGACACGAATTTTATAGGTTGGCAAAGGACTGAGTTACATAACACGCGTGAAGACATTTGTCACGAAATACTCCAACACACTGAAAGCCGTAAGCATCATACTGTTAGCAATGATTCCATGGTTAAAGGTCAGCCGAGCAAGTGTTCAAAAAGCCTTCAGTATGATCTCTATTTGGAGTATTTTTGCTGTACTTGGATGGGGCTTAGCAATGCACTTACTCTTCATTATTGTTATTCTTCTTCCATGTTTTGCCTTGAAACTGGAAAAATCTGCTTTGAAGTCAGTTGTCATCCTGGCTAGTCAAAAAACTCTGGCCATTGCCGTAACAATATGTTGTTATCTTCCATTTACACAAGCTGAGCAAGGCCTTATTAGCTTACCTCTAATTATTATTCACATTGGAATCCTAGTGTCTGATTCAGTGTGGGCATCCTGGTGGTTTGCACGGGATGCAAAAAAAGAAAAAGAGAAAATTGAGAAAGCTGAAAAAATTTTACGAAATGATAACACTGATAATTCATTTCAAATATCACATGATCATTCATGAGGAAATTATGCTTGGCATAGCATGATTGTGCGAATTAGCTAACATTAACGGGCCTCTCTGCAAGTATATATATTTTTGTATACTTGTTATTTTTATCATTTTTGTTAAAATTTTCTTGTTCTTATTTGGCCAAAGGTAAATGGATAACCAGGTTAAAGAAATCAAAACTGGATTTCCAATCTCCTTTAATTACGTTTTCCTAAGGGTAAATACAAGATATTAATTTACAAAATACTTTGAAATCATCAAGCTTTGTTTTACCGCCAAAGTGATTGACCAAAACGGTCAAATTGAAGAGAGTATGAGCATTTTCTGAACCTCTGAAAATCGTTTTGATCGATGGTCACCATGGATCTTTGGTGTAGCATAAATAGAAAGTGATTATGTAATGCACGAGTTCATTCTGTTGTGAAAAGTTTTCAGCATTATGTCGAGTTTTTGTACAATATTTGGAACCGGCCAGTACAGCTGAATACGGTCTAGTCAACGAGCGTATGCCTAGATGTAAACCTTAAAAGTCCTCCTCGCACAAGCCCGGATTGACGCGCAGTACGGTTTGAACCATCAGAAAGACTGCTATAAATAGACGAGGGCGCAGCCACGATTTTCCCAAGGGGGTATCACACTGTGTCAAACAGAGAGTACTCACCAGTTTTCGCCACCTGAATATTGTAGCGCTCGTGGCGTGCTTCTTGATGTTGTATGCGCACTAGCCTGGGTTAGCTTTTAGGTTCATGTTAACCTGCAATCTGGTTTTTTTTTTCCGGCGTATCACTATTAAACACAGTTGGAGGACAGAGAGTAAAAAGCCTCGTTTTTCCAATCGCAGATCAGCCTTTTGCGCTGCTACACTACACTGTACAATATCACGTTAGCCCGAGTTACAAAAAAAACGAGGGAATTAAAAAACCTTCCTGCCAGGTTAATTTTGGTCTCGAGAGGGGTTACTGGTTTACCTGGAAGGAGGGGCTGATCCAGACTTTTGAAAAGCGTAGCCATTTGTGGTGAATCGACCACTGAAGGTCACAGGAGAGAGATCATATAATAACTCTTCGTAATTCCCGGACAGTTTACCTTCCACGAGTAAATGTTTCAGTTGTTGTGTGCGTACGTCGTGCGTCACGCAATAGAAGTCACGCATTCGTTTTGTTGATGACGTTCATAGGCGCGCGTAATAAGTTGCGCCATATGAATCCGACAATGGCGGCATTGAATCTTCCTGAGAGTGAAGGTTCTCCAGAAGAAATATCGGAAAAACGACCGAAGTTATTGACTAGAGTGAAGGCAGTGGTTTTTAAGAATTTTTTGTCTATAAGCTTAGTCTTTTTCGTAGCTTTAGGAATTTTGGTTCCAGAACCCGGCGTCTTCTTCAGCGAACTACCGACCCACTATGTCTGTGTCGTTGGAATCTTTCTTCACAGTGGAATCAAACTTAAAACAGGAGAAGTGAAAGACGCTTTTAAAGCGTTCAAGGCTATGATCTGGGGTGTTATTTGTATTTTGTTGATTACGCCGATTATTGGCGGACATTTAACTGGATTGTTGCCATACACTGTCACAAAGGGTCATGCCACGACAAACGGCGTTGAAATAAATGGAAGTTCCCCGTCCACTGGAGGACACTCAGAGGGTAGTTCAGTACTTGGTCCAGTTTTTTTTCAAATAGGAATGCAGATTTATTTCATCGTGCCGTGTACGATCTCGTCTGGCGTTATCTTGGTAAGTTTAAAACATGTGTCATAGAGCGATAGGGAATTTGGCGAGCTTAGGAAAGTTTAATTTTTTCTCCATTTATCCCCACACACACACATACACAACACCTGCAGAATAGTAGGGTTTTTATTATTATTTTTATTATTTAGTTATTTATTTTCTGACCTGACCCTGTCCAACATTTTGTCAAAGATGTCAATAACCAGTTACACAGAATATTTTATAACCTTTAAGTTTTTCCTGCCCTGTGGGTCAAGAGGTCCAGGTTTGAAACCTGGCCGCGTTAATGTATTGGGTTTTTGGGCAAAACACTCACAGTACCTCTCTCCACCAAGGGGTATAGAATTGTTCTTAAGAGTGTCTTTAATCTAGCGTGGACTGAATGAACATTTGATAAAGACACCAACAGAACAAACGTGTGATCAACACGTGAAACATTTTTGAAGTGCATGTGAAACAAATGAGCCAAGGCAACTTCTTTCTTTGAAATGCAAGTGTCCCACTTTTGTAAGATTCATATGCTGACAGTTTTCACACATTAAAATAGGTTGGAAAACAACTATCTTACATGTGAAACACTTTTGAAGTGCATGTGAAATAAACAAGCCAAGTTAACATCACTCTATGAAATGTGCTCCACTTTTGTAAGATTCATATGCTTGCAGTTTTCGCAAATTAAAATAGGCAGGGACGCAACTATCTTGCTTGCTTGCTTTAAAAATTATTGACATAATGGTTCCAAAATAAATTAGGATTATGGTATTGGTTATAATTTAAGTGTCTAAGTTTTAGATATACAATTTTTTCATCAACAGACAGCACAAGCTGGAGGTGCTGTAGCACTGTCAGTGCTGCTCACAGTGTTTTGTAACTTGGCCGCTGTATTCACCGTTCCTCCTCTTGTGGCCTGGATAATAAATTTTGAGAATGTTAGGCTGGATCTAGTAACATTTTTGATTAAACTGTTGCTGACAGTGCTTCTTCCATTATTGGTAAGTGTTGTAGCAAGAGTGTAATAATGCAAGATTCAATACATGAAATTCTTAGTGCTAAAGTTAAAAGAACCAAGTGACAGATAGGAGGGTGGCAAAGCAGGTATCCTGATCTCATTTCACGCTTGGATTTTTGGAAAAATGCATGTTTCATGTATATAAGGGGAAAATTTTCAAATTCTCATCTTGTGTACAAGGTTTCAGGGAAATACTGAGGTTTTTTTGTGAAATGATATGAAAAATCTATGGGTCACATATGTTTCAGGAGGCAAATTAAACTTGATTCTGGTTCATAAATTCACAAATCTCACTGGCCTTTCTGTTAAATTTGCACGTCACATATTAATTTGGCCTTAATCACACACAGGTAGAACCCCTTTGCCACCCTTAGATAATAAGGATAGTTAACATTGAGATCATGGGAGTGAATGGATTAATAGGCTTTGTCAATAACAAATTCATTATACAGCCAAAAGATTACAACAAAGGACTGCAGAACAGACATAGTTTGATGCTACTCTGGTTTGCAGATTTAATGAATGTAACCGAAGAAGTTAAAATTCATAGACTGCAGAACAGTTGCATGATTCAACTAGTTGTTTGCATTGCTTTCACTGTCTGTAAGATGAAGATATGTCAAGTTTTGTGACTCCTGTAATTACAAATGATCAAATAAACAATTTCTTTTCGAGACAAAAAGATGCCCAGATGTTACAAAGTATTTGAACTAGATACAAGGGTTTTTGTTGAGGGAGGAAAGTGATAAATCTGAAACAAGCAATTAAGGTTTATCTAGCTTTGAAGGCAACCAAGGCCTAGCATGTGCTCCTTTATATTTTTGCAGACAGACAAACATTTAATCCTCTCACTCCCAAGATCTCATTTCTAGTCCTGTTACTGAATGCCATACAGTTCTTATCATGTTAGTTCAGAGAATTTAGCATTGGATCAACTAATAACCCCCTAATTGATATTTTTCTTCATTCTCATCACTTACCTTTGTATTGTATTTGTATTGTAAGGAGTACTTCTGTCTTGGTTCCTCACAGAAGTTAGGGTTAGTGGCATTTGCTACTGGCACTGAGATAAATTTTTTCAATTTTTTTCTTCTTCTTTATAGGTTGGCAAAGGTTTGAGATATATACCCCATGTGAAGCCATGTGTGAAGAAATATTCCAATACACTGAAAGTGATCAGCATCATACTATTGACTATGATTCCTTGGCTAAAGGTCAGCCAAGCAAGTGCACAAAAGGCCTTCACCGGATTCTCTGTTGGAAGTGTTTTTGCTGTTATTGGATGGGGCCTAGCAATGCACCTTCTTTTTATCATCATTGTCATTTTTCCATGTTTTCTACTGAAACTGGAAAAATCTGCTCTTAAGTCAGTTGTGATAATGGCCAGTCAAAAATCCCTGGCAGTCGCAGTATCAATAGCTGGTTATCTTCCATTTACGCAAGCTGAACAAGGCTTGCTAAGCTTGCCAATGATATTAATTCACCTTGGAATTCTTGTGGCTGATTCAGTGTGGGCATCTTGGTGGTTTGCACGGGATGCTAAGAAAGAAAAAGAGGAAGCTGACCCTGGCAACATGGCGTTAAATGGAGATAAGACTACTAATCAAACAACTAATGATGAGCTGGATCATTTATGTTCTGATGCAAATCAACAGTTAAATGTTTCATCTGTTTAATGACCAAAGTCATATCCCATTTTTCCTCAAATAATGGCTGTGCTCTATTAAGCACCCTCCCCAAATTAGCACCCACCCTCTAGGCCATAATATCAAACAAGCACCTCTCTTGAATAAATACCCCCATCCCCCCTCCTCCCTCTTTTTCTTAGATAATAGGGATACAAGGAAAACCTGTTTTTATTGCCACTTTATTTATTGGATTTTTAAGCTTCAAAAGTGCTGAATCAGTTAAGGAGAATAATAAGTGCCCTCCTAATAAGTATCACTCTTTTTTTTGCCTCAAATAAGTGCCTGGGTGCTTATTCAAGGAAACACAGTAGCTCTGAAGTAAATTATTACCCTGAATTGAGCTAGTTTAGTGTGGTCTTCATTTCTAGACTTATTTATCTTGACATCAGTAAATCACTTGGTACTTGGCACAGGTGTAGTACATGTGTTAGTGAGAAGGAGGAAGAAGTATATGTTGTGATTAATAAAAACTGTAACAAAATTCTCGAATGTGGTTAGCTATCATTAGCCCGATTTGAGAACTAATAGGACAGCGTACACATCATGCTTGTAATTAGACAAGCGTGATGTGTACGCTGCTTGTGTATGTGAACAGTATGTGTCGTGTGTGGACTGTTGTTGTGCATTTCCTGAAATTATCAGTTGTTTTTTTTTTTAATGAAGACATTTCATCAGTCTAATTTCTTTCTTGAATTTTGTCAGTTTTGATTAATTGGTAACAGAACTTTGTGTAGTCTAGTTCTGTTGGTAATCATACCAGCGATTAACAAATCACTCGACTCAGGCCTGTTGCTGTTATTAACCCTTTGACCCCTCAAAAGATTGTTTATTCTTTCTCTTGGCTGCTGCACTTTTCCTTGTTAATTAGTTTTGAGAGTTTGTTGTTAGATCAAGATAAGAACTTCTACCTGGTAAGTTTGAGTATTCTCATTACCTGTTCATTGGATAATAAATCTCCTCTGGTAGTTAAAAGGTTAACTGTTTACACCCTAACATCAGTATGCTTAGTCACAGTACTGTTCATATACATACATTTCCTAAAGTGCTGTAAGGGATAATTTGTTTAAAATTCCAGTGAGTCTTTAATTGGTGATCACTTCCTTTTATGTGTGATCCAGGAGTGATATTAGAAGGACAAAATTAGATGTTAGTTATTCTTAGGGGTTGATTGGTTAATAAGGAGGAGTTCGACTAAACTGGGGTTTTTTTTTTTTCATATTTAGTAATCTGGTGGTGGGGTATGTCTTCAAGTGTGTCTCTTGTATGTTTAGAAAAGGAGGTCTTTAATTATTTAATCAATTGATTATTTATTTTTCCATTCAACTTTGCCTTCTCATTTCATCTAAGTATGTACGAGAGTAAGAATTCACTCTCAAAATTAAGGCCTGGAGAATTTTTAATAGAGAAGCTTCTTCGCCCTATATCAGAACAAATAATTATACTTTTGAAAAATAATTTAAATACATAATGACCAACTTAATTTATTGCAGAGTCTTCCACATATATGTTTGTCAAAAGCAAGCAATCAAATTATGTACTTTCAATTTTGAAATAGCTGAACAGTCTATTGGAAAACACCACTTTTATGGTCTGGTTATATAATTTTCTGTTCTAATGATAAAACACGTCAGATCAATTTCATTTATAGAGATAAATAATTTCATTCTATTATCATTTTATCAATGTTAGTTATAAAATTAATGGAAGTATCACAACCATGCATAATTTGTTTTCAATAAATTTAATTTATTTATTAATATTTTTTGAGGTTTGGTGATTCACTAAGCTGAATTTTGTATTTCTTACTTATATTTGCATGAAAATTGATCAGCTTGAAAAGACTAGGGGATTGAACCTTTCCTCTGTTCTTCTAATGTCCACAGCGACAGTAGTTCTGCTAATTGATCCCATACATGCTGTCAAACAAAGTGATATATTAATTATACAAAATTTAATTTAAGGGTCTATTTTCTCGCCAGTTAACAACCCAAACTTTGCAATTGGATGAGTTATTTTCCATTTTCGTTCAGCCCTTGTCAAACCATTTTCAGGTGAACTATTACAATTTTCAAAACCAAGAGAAGGTAAAAAAGCCGCCACATGTTTAGCTATCCCAAGACAAGCAGACAAACCAGTTGACCGAATGCCACCCACTGTGATCCATGCTTTGTCTGGTTGACACTCAATGCAGTAGTCTTTGAACTCTGTTGCAGGCCGCAGACCTGCATATGTCCCTATGACAGAATGTTCTTTGAGAGATGGAAGAATGGTCTGTGCCCGATATATTAAAGTGTCAATGACTGTCCTGTCAATCTCTGCATTGCAGCGATCTAATTGGTCTTCTGCTGTGGGCCCCACTATTATGTTATCATAGACTGTAGGAAAAAGAAGAACCCCTTTAGTTTTTGGTGTAGGTACAGGAAATATAATTGAGTTCAAAAGTTTGCCTGCGGACTTGTCGAACACAGCATACTGTCCTTTCCGTGGTTTGATGGTAAATGGGCTTTGTCTATGTATTGTTTCTAGCTCATCACCATATAAACCAGCACAATTGACTACAACTGAAGCAGTGATTGGCCCTTTAGATGTTGACAGCTGCCAATCCTTCCCTTGTCTTTTCCCACCAGTCACATGACAGTTGGTTAAAATGGTTGCGTTCTGCGCCAGTGCTAAGTTTGCCAACGTGACGGGAATTCTCCACGGATCCACAATGCTCTCTCCAGGCACATGCACAGCACCAAGAGCATTTCTATTCAAGTGCGGTTCTTTCTCAAGAAGTTCTTGAGCTGTTATCTGCCTTACGTCTGAAACACCTGCTTCGTGAGAAATAGCGACAATTTTCGGCAATTTTTCCAGATCCTCTTCGTTCCATGCTACAATAAAGCCTCCAGATTTCCTGTAAGGGATGTTATGCTTCGAGAAAAAGCTTTCATTCAATTCTCGCGCCGATTGAAGGCATCGTAACTCTAAACTACCGAGCGGCGCATCAAATCCCGTGTGAAGAGTTCCACTGTTTCCTGAGCTAGCGCCACAGACAAGATTCTCTTCTTTTTCGCAAAGAACACATCGAAGTCCTAGGGAAGTGAACTCGTGAAGAACGGAACAACCTACAACTCCTCCTCCCACAACAGCCACGTCGAATTTCCTGTCTTCTTCCATGACAGAAAAAATAATATATCCTATCTCCTAGCTTTCAATCACCGCGCAGATCCATCTATATACGGATTCCCTTTCAATTCTTCTGACACTTCACGCGTAAACTATATCATTTTCAAGCAATCCTCTCTAAGAAATGTCCGCAATCCCGTGATCCCAGGCAAAATTAACTTGAGCCAGCAAGCACAATTACCACTTCATAATTTATGTATGTGGAAACGGTTTGGGCGGACGCTCAAGATGACGGAGATTCTATGAGCCCCGTGATTGCTAGAAAAAACCTACCGTGTATTGCATTGGTAAACTCATAGAATGTTGAAACATTTTAAGTTAAATTTAGAAAAGCAATAGGCCGCACTTTATATCGGTGTAAAGGCGTGATAACTCAATTGGGATGTTGGGAGAACACAAGTAAGATCAAGAAAAGTTTGCAAATCATTTGCCTCCGGTTAACTCTTTACACCCTCACATCAGTTTGCATTTTCTTCATAATGTTTTTCTTCAGATGTCGACAAGGAGGATTTTTTTAACAATCAAGAGCTTCTCCGGCTGATGATCATTTTCCTTAACGTGACCTTAATGTGTAATTCAGGGATGAAATTGTAAGGAGAAATTAGATGCTAGTCACTCCTAGGGGTTTACATCCCAAGTGGGTTATTACGCCGGTAAACCGACAGAAAGTGCGGTCTATTGCCTGCATTGATTAAAACTACATTGAGTAGAGGTGACAACTGAACAATAGCCTGCATTTATCCTGAAAATATCCTCGGATATTTGCTCGCGGACATTGGCTGTTCCAAGGGGAGAAAACTAAGTTTTCCTAGAGCAAGCTTTAGGAAAAGTGGGAGCTTTAGGGGAAAGATAAGGCGCCAGGAAAATATTGAAGCACTTTTTTATGTCAAAGATTTTTGTTTACGGTACTGGCCGTCTAGTTTGAAAATTGAGGGGTATGATTCGGTATATCGTATAAACTTTCAGTTCAATCGAGGTATTACACGTTCGCGAGCGAAAATACTTAATATATCACACTCATGAGTTTTTCTTTTTGTTTTTTTTTTTTTGGTGCAACGACCTGTAAAATATTTTATAAAAGAAATCTAGCAAAATCAGTAAAATACATAGGACTATAGTTTAAGGTGTTAAGTTCGTCTATCAAGGTATTATTCAAGATGAACTTTTGAATGTACTTATTTTATTTCATGCGGAAAATCCCTCTGAGAAAGGGATTTTCCGCATGCAATAAATGCTATACATTTTCAACTGTACTTGACCAATTACGGAA